TCAGCTTCCCCAACCCCAACCAACTGATCCGAATAGGCCATCTTCGTCTTCATCATCGTTAAGGTCACTGTCCACGGATAGTCCAGACTCTTCTCTGATCTTCACCATCCCAAGCGCATCCCGCCCCCAGGTTCCAACCGAAGCGACACCCTCTTCACTGCAAGCAATCTCTTCCTCAATCACCGACCAACACCAACAAGCCATGCAGGCCTTGTCTCAAATACGGAGCAATATTCAGTTACCGACGCTAGAGAGCGAAGATGCGGCGATGACCAGAGCAATCCTTGCCGTTTTAACCTCTCCATCTTCTTCTTCCTCTTCAACATCCCACCAACCCCAACAAAGTCAAAATTTACCTTACAATGATTACCAGCTGAACCCCAAAGCTAGTGCATTTAAACGTTATGCTGCCTCTTTGTTAGGAGCCCCTACAACACCAGCGAGGGCCAGTTTACGAGCCCAAAGTATGCAGAAACGAGCCGTTTTGTTCTATAGAAAACTGAATTTAGCGAGGCGTGAACAACAGCTGCGAATCCGTCCCACTAGCAATCAATTGCACCATATGATGTCAGAGCGCAAAAGGCGAGAGAAACTCAATGAAAGTTTCATTGCATTGCGATCTCTTCTTCCTTCTGGCACCAAGGTATTATTTCAATCTTCAAAATATAGTTATGAAGTTTCAACATGAATTAATTTTATTATGCATCAAGGATTTATGCACAACAATGTTTATTATAAAAAAATTGATGTCATTAAGTTAAATTTGGTCTTGAAATCATTCATGTAGAAAGACAAAGCGTCGGTGCTTTGTAGTGCAAGGGAACACTTGACCTCATTGCAAGCTCACATTGTGGAGCTTAATCGGCGAAACCAGTTATTAGAAGCTCAGCTCTTGCCTTCCAGAGAAGCTGTCGGTGGGGAGGTAACTGGTTCATCAAACGAGAGATTTAGTGTTCGGATCACACCTGTACCCGAATCAACATCAGAACAAAGAATCATGGACCTGAGAGTCAGTGTTAGAGGAGAACGGCCAATAGTGGATGTCTTAATCACCCTGCTACAATTCTTGAAGCTCGACAGAAATGTGTGCTTGCTGTCCATTGAGGCTAACACCCACATAACAGAATCAGGCTCTGTTAATAATGTTAACTTGAGACTGAGGATAGAGGTATGCGCACAAACTAAGATTTCAAGCTGCATGAGAAAAATTTTGCAATAACATATACTTTCTTGAACCAAAAAACGAAATTGCTAGTATATACTTATGTTTTTTTTTTTTCAATATAGACGACATATATATATATATTATTATTATGTTTTTGCATGAAAGCGATATGTTTAAACTTGCCAAAAAACAATGGAGGGGCTCCCTTCCACAAAAATTACTAATATCTTGGGCCCATATATAGTTTAATTCCCTGGATTTATATATTAAAATTTTTTTCTCATGATGGGAAAACTGAATTCAAGCTTATGAAATTGATGGCAATGAAATGGATGTTTGATAATACTTTTGTGGTATGTAGGGCAATGGATGGGATGAATCCACCTTCCAGGAAGCAGTGAGAAGGCTAGTCGCTGATCTGGCACAGTGATATAATATAATATTTTTCCAATATTTATCACTCTCTAATTAAAAGTGGTCAGACTGATTTATTCTGCGACCAACGGCTATTGTAGTTGATGGTGTGCTCAGTCTTTTTTGTCTCTTTTTACCCCTCTGATCACATCCTTTTGATCTCCATCAATTGTTTCTGAGTTCAAAATAATACTATTAGTGATGCGTCACAATTTTGGTAGCTTAAGGGATTTAATTGAACAGTTGATTTTCCAAATGTATGACTTTATAGTTTATGTCGCCCATATTGACTGCAATTTCTTTTTTTCTTGTTTTTGTTAAAAGGGAAGACTATGAGAGCGACCCTCTTCTTTAATTTAAGCAAGAAACCATACATAAATACAACAACAAAACATTGATAGGTGCATTCAAAGTTGGTCCAATGTCAAAAAGTATTACTTTTTCAAGAGTCAAGACCACCCAAGCACCAACCCCATTTTTAGAAAACCCTTCAACTAGTGCTGCTCAATGTTATTATACTTGTATTCTATTATGGAACACTGAGGCTTAGTTGTAGATTCGCCTGGCAGAAAACGTTTGGCCATGCCGTCACTTTAGGATTCCCAAATCCTAATTAATTAAGTTGGGGTCATTCATTCCTTCTTTTCTGTACGTAACAAGGAAAAGAAGAGGAGACGGCGCTTTTGACTGACAACTTTTTCTTTGGGATGGAAGCTGTGGAATTTCTCGTCTCTGGACCATGTTCTTTTGGCGGTTTTGTCATCCACTGACTCGTCTACCTACTCTGGTTTCAGGGGTCGGGGCTGGGGCCGGATCGACAACACTTGGACCAATGTTAGTTTCGCAGGAAACTACAATCTAATACTGCTTCTTACTTTAATTTAACAATGATAATAATATTTGTCTGCACGTTGGATTACCTCTTATTTAATTGCGTTTGTTTGCGGGCGTGGACGGGTCAATATGATTTGGCTACCACAGTCATTGATTTAATCTTCGGGTCAATATGGTGGTACTAGAAGTTTTCTTCTACATGAGTTAGCTTTAATCATGAGTGAAAATTTTATGGCAAATACAGAGATTAAGTCTTAATTTTACTTGGTCCTTTTTTTTATACATTAAGATTGTTGTAATTGATGAACGATTGCTTAGAAATATGTATAACATACACGTTCTATTTTGTTACAAATTCGACCTATTATATATATCTTTATAGTTTTAATTTAATTGAAGATTAAATTAAAAGAAATTATGATAATTTTAACCAAAATATCAACCAAGTGTATGTGTAAAGCTACATGCCATATCAACGTTTGCAGCTGAGACAATTAGTCATAATTTTCCCTTAAAAGAGAATTTCCGAATTCAAGCAAAAATCAAGCCCAACAAAGGACTTGATAGGCAGAAAACACAAAGGGGGAACCGCCCCTTTTTTCTGCTACGGAACAGAGAATCCAAAGGTATAGCACACTCTCAAGGAGTTAAACCATAGTCTAGCTATTCACCATCAACAAATCCTGTGATGGTCGAACACTGGCTTTTACAGCTCTAAAGATGTGATGCATTTTCCATCTCCTCGACTGCATTTTTTGACTCTTTATATGCAGACTAGTTTTCCTCAGCTATTTCGTGAAATGGATTGATGTTTTAAGATTTAATTGATTCATTGCAAAAACCACTTTTCATCATTAGATAAGACAGTGTGAATTTACCTATTTAGAAGTGATAAATATAACTAAAACTTCCCTAATTATTAGTAATTTAATAAAATTCGTCAACATCAATTGATTTTAAAAATATAATTTTAACGATATTTATTTTATCTGTAACATCCTAATGATACTCAAGTCATCCAATATACTTCATATATTTAAATAAATTTTTTTAAAATAAATACATATTTCTTTAAAAAAATAGTTTATTCAAATAATGTAAATCTGTAATACTTAATTTTAAAATTATAACTAGACGCGCATATCAAATTGCCCAGATCCAGTTACTGCATACAATTGCGTTTATCATGGCTTTATATTCTTGATTTCCTAAACCAGAAACTGTCCCCAAAAATAAATACCATATATGATTGAGTTTCTTTTCGTGAAAGTATGGAGTAATAACAGAGGGAAGGCCTAGGAGTGAAACTCGATCTAGTATGACACAAAACATTATCTGCAGTTTACAATATGATATCAAGTCAAAGGATCTGTCCGAAAGGTGATCACTGAAATATCATGGTTGCATCATGAAAGATCAATATTCAAATGTTAAGATATAGAAGTCTGATGATAAGTCAATACTTAGCTAGCAACAGCCCTTTTTCATGCAAGGCAAAATTCGAATTCCCATGTTATAGATACCCAAAAAGTTTTTTAAGTCCCAAAACACTGAACCAAAACAAATCAGGGGCAGCCTCTTCAAGGCCTGAGAGTTCCTAGCTGCTGCCTTTTTGATGCATTTTCTTCCCAGGCATATATATAAACCAATTATTCAAAAGCCGGTGGATCCCACTTCTAGAAACTATAGATAATTCTTCCATGAAGAAAAATGAAAGTAACATTTCTGCCCCTCTTGTTTAATTTTATATTACTATATTAACGAAGGGTCTTCATGGTGACCATATGCTTCTGCACCAGCATCATCAATCACGTTGGTGAAAGAAGAGGGTTGCGGTTTTAGTCAGCAGGAAAAGTTTCCATGCCGGGTCGGAGGAAGCACTTTTTGAGAAGCTTTCACACGCAATCTGTGCCCCTCAGTCAATATCTTGAAGCAAGAAAGATGGGTTGAGAATCTAATTGCACGAAACAAGATACAGAACAATCATTTGAACACATGCTATAATTAGTTTCTATCAAACTATGACATTAGTTAGCGACTTGAAGAAGCCTCGTCATATGAGACTTATAGACTTGGAATTGTGTATCACTGACCCTTCTTTCCTTCTTTCGGGTTATCCTCAATACCATCATTCTTCATATATCCACTGCGACTGAAATCTGCAAACAAGTCAAATTCATTAAACGAAAGAGGCTGGGATAGAGTTTTCTTTGGGAGGTTTATATGCAACAAAAGGGACGAAGAATCTGACTGGTTTATAGCTCGCCAGGAACTGTAATGCTTGTCCATTGTGTGTAGTTGGGGCTGATGTCAAATGTTGTTGATAGGTACTATTCTAAGGAGATTGAAGCACGTTCTCCGTTTCTCTGGACTATATCTGTTGCTTCACAAAGCAAAAGCCTACATGTTTCCTCTTCTGAACCAAGAAAACATTGCCAACTTTCATAAAATTGTTTTGAATTTTACTGATAAATTTATAGAGATAATTAACCGCATGAAACATTTGACAAGAAACTGGATCAAGCTTCTTCTACTAGCTCAGAGAGCTGAATCAAATGCAGTCCCAAACCCTCTCAATTGATGCCTAATTTTATGATGATAAGCACATCGATTAGCTTATTTGCAATTCCCCAAATATAATAACTAGGAAGATGGAGTACATAACGATGCTGACCATGACAAAAAAGAAATGTTTTCCCTGTTGCCAAGAGATTCGCTTGAACATAGATAATGTTCTCAGAAATGATAGTTATTTATCATTAGGAATGGCTCAAAATCAGGGAGCAGTCTGCTATTTCTTTGGCGGTGGCGGTTCTTTCTTTGGCGCTTGGAGGAGAAGAGGATTGAGTGCCATGCAGAGGCAAAAAATGATATTAAAGAAATACATGCCGAGGGCAATGTAGCCAGCAGTTACAGCAGTCAAGACCCGGGTGCAGTAGGAAGAGACCAGATCGCAGATTGGTGACCATTGTGCATGAGTATTCCCTTTCATCTCCATGTAAAACATTCCCAAAGTTGCTGAATTGATTGAAGCAAGTAGCATTGCAGCAACCTGGTCCCGAATATAGCCCAAACGAATCAGAATAGTTAACCAGGTGAACACAGCTAGAGCAAACCAGATTTTCACTTCAAAAATGTATATCGTAAGGCATTAACAGATAGGATGAGGGAGGAAGATGATGTCCAAACGGTACCATATCAGAGGCCACAATGCTTCGCCAGAGCAAACTTGTTTTAGGAAGCAGTAAAACCAGGAAGCTGTAAGCACTGACTATTGAATTAATCCCCATGAAGTACCTTAAAGAATAATGCACTTATCAGACATCAACAAAAAGAAGAAGAAATTTAATTAAAACTGAGCCGAAGTAGGGGGAAAAGTGACATAATTAATGGTTCACTCCTTGATTTACATGAAGCATGAAACGTCCTTGGCCTCTATTTTGATGGAATGTAGGGAGGGGAGAGGGACTGTCTCATGGCTTATTCCCATTGCAATGGCGGCTACAAGGGAAGCAAGGGCAGCCAAAACCCTGAGCGCCAAGGTGCACTTCGTCCTGAATAATGCTGAAGGCTCTGCATCCGACATCTTCGACTACAAGAAAACAAAATTTATACTTAGCACTTTGTTTAAATGAACCATAATCAAAACAAAAACGTAGCATAGCAGTATTGTCAAAATCAAAGTAGTACAATTGATCCTACAGGCCAATTTTACTTAAAAATGAATACTATGGGAAAAAAAAAGGGCATCATAATTAACCCAAGTTCTTAGACGTTACAACAAGAGAAAGTAATTGGATATTTTGCATAAGTTAATTGAACAACTTAATTAGCATTCACTCTTAGCAACATTATAACTCTTACCAGACAAGAAATTTAATGAAAATAGTTGATGAGACTGCTAGAGTTAAGTTAGAAAAGATGCAATTATACTTCCAAAGAACAAAAAAAAAAAAAGAAAACATATTATGTGGAAAACCTTATATATGCGCACCCATTGTTATATGGACATGTTACCTAGTCCCTTGGAACATCCATGCTCTGTTTCTTTATAGTGATTGTGTCGGTTTCATGTTTGTATAAGTTAACAAGAAAAAATTAACAACACTGAATCAATAAATTTAGAGGAAAATAAAACTTTGCTCACCTGCTTGAAGACGTATAAGCAGTTAGTATTAACCCTGCAAGATGAATACAAAAGGGTTTATAGTAAAATATAGGGTCTGCTGTAGATTTAAGAAGACAGTGTAGGGTTTTTCTATTTGTACTTGTTAGAAGGGAACAAAAATTTTATTTTATTATTATTATTATTATTTGGGGTGGGGGAGGGGGCGTGGTGTAATAAGAATTCTTGGTAAGTAAGTTAAATTGAGCATTACCTATTTAGGGAACATTTTCCTTTTCTATCAGTCCATCCTAATATAGCAAGAAGATAGCCGGGTAGAGCTTTGACAGTTCGTATCAATCAAGGGCCCAGCATAAGTGGCGTCATATTCTACCTTTCCCTTCAGAAATTCAAGCCGGGTTTTGACTTGGACTTCTTTGCCAATTTCATTATATGCAGAAAAACAAGTTGATTACAAATTTAGGAGCCTCATCCAATCATTTCAATTTCTTTGCCGACTTCCTCTTTTCTTTTTTGCGTCAGGCAGTTCCTTGTTAAGTTCTGAAACCATGGGCATAGATATGAACCGAAAACCAGAACAAGACTAAGATTGCATATACATATATATATATATATATAAAATATACATAATATAAAAATTGACCACATTAACATGCACAAAGTGGTTGGACAAATAACAATCTTGAGGAAGACTGTAGGATACCCCTGGAAATTTGAATGAAGATCCTGTATTCTTCCTTCATCTAAATTGATTCCACAAAACTTTCCAATGCACTATACGACACATGTACAAATGCGACCAACATACTCAAAAGGGTGGAATATGACTATGAATCAACGGACTTTCAAATCCTTCCATCATCGTGTCCACCGAAAAATTCACCTAGCTAACGACTGATCCAAAGGGAGAAAGCAACCCCCACAAAAGACTGAACCTGCAATGGGAACAAAGGGGGTTTCAGTCTGAGTCCAATGCACATTTAAGCTTCAACGGCAGTAGCAGCTTCTTCATCGGTTGTATCAGGTGGAATTATTTCTTCTGATGTATTCCCATCAGAAATATCTGTCTGTCTTTCCTTCTTTCTCTCAGTTTCCAGTAGCTTTTCTCTAAGTTTCATCACAAGTTCTTCACAAGCACTTTCATTTTCGGCCAAAAATTTTTTAAAGGCTTCCTTGCCATGGATTTTATGGTCATTGAAACTGTAGAATGCACCAGACTTTGTAACAAATTTGTGTTTTAGCGCTAAATCTATGATCTCTCCTTCCCGAGATATTCCCCTGCCAAACTCGAGCTCAAATTGAGCTGTCTTAAATGGAGGCGCAAGCTTGTTCTTCACAATCTTCACAAGAACTTGACTTCCAATAGTCTGCAGATTATAGAAATATCAAAAACACAACGAGACAAGGAATATAAAACAGAATGAGATCTACTCTAAAGAAGAGAAAATTATCTAGATTTGGTCATTTCCTATCTTCTACATGAGTCCCTTATGTGCCAGAAACTGGACATGCAACAGAGTTAAAAATGGAAAGGACTAAATTTATGAAAAAATCAAGGCCTTTCAAAATTAGATTGAGTAAGCTAGAGGTTAGATACAAGCTGGCTCGAAGATCAAGACAAGCAAATATAACTACATGTTTAACTTGCTTGGGAATGTAAGAGACCATTCAAAGGAAATTTTAATGACTTGCTCAACAGAGTTTCAACCATGCTAAAGGAAATTTTGATAAACAAATCATCGCCACCCAATCAGATTTGACGTGTGACTTATATGATGGGATGACCCTTTTAAACTACTACATCCAAATCCAACCAACAAACTGAAGAGGAAAGAAAGGATGGAACTTGATACCTCTTCTCCTTTCTTGACAAGCCCTGTTCTCCTTATGTTTAGACGCACTGAAGCATAGAACTTTAGTGCATTACCACCGCAGGTAACTTCAGTTGGCCCACCAAATCCACCAAAAGTTGAAAGTTTTGACCTCACCTAATATGTGAAAATAGTAAAGATGTGTTATAATAAACAAAAATTCCATGCTTCACTTATCTGCAGAACAAACTAATATAAGAGAAAAAACAGAACTTCATTTTGCATTCTCAACCTAAAAACCATGAGAAATCTGCAGCTGACCACAATTAAGAGCTACCATTCATCTAGGAAATATTACATCAAGCTAATAGCCATCCAATTAGTAGTCTGCATTCCTAATAAAATCCTTAAGAAATGGAACAAAAAGTTGACCAGGGCAAAACTCTAAAAGTACATGACACAGAGAGTATAAGGTTAATCTTTTTTAAATAAACTCAAAGCAAGAACTTTATAACTTCAAATTAGCAAACTAAATCTTCAGAAGACTATAGTGTTAATATGGAGTTGATCGTCAAAACTTATCAAGGACATAATCAGGATCTAAAACTTATACCTGATTTACAAAAATCAATATAGTTTGTGATAATGATAAGGAATGGCTCAATTTACGAAGAGCCTGGCTCATCAATCGAGCTTGCATTGCCATATGAGCATCACCCATCTCCCCATCAAGCTCACCTTTAGGCACAAGGGCAGCTACCTGAGAAAAAAAAATGAAGCATCAATTAGGACTCACTTCCAAATAAATATGATAAAAACTGCAGTACTGCACTGATAAAAAACAAAATACAGAATATCAACCCTTCAAGGATGAATCCAATGTATTTGCCACAACAACAATTATTTCAAAAAATATTCCTTCAAATTAGCATCATAGCACAACCTAACTAACTAAGCAGTCTAAAGGGAAAATGCAGACAGAGAGAAGAAAGCAGACCCACTCTACCAACTACCAGCTGTTATGATTAGGTCACACTCCCTCAAGGAAAAGAAACGAATCTAAAAACACCTTACACTGTCAACAACAACAACATCAACAGATCCACTCCGTATTAGTGTATCCACAAGACTGAGAGCTTGTTCACCACAATCAGGTTGCGAAAGAAGCAAATTCTCAGTGTTTACCCCAATTGCCTCAGCTAGAGCTGAATCAAGAGCATGCTCAGCATCGACAAAAACACAATAACCTGCATTTGAATGGTATAAAACATGTTAGTATCCAGCAGAAAAGTAACCCAAACAACCTCAACAGAAGAGAAGATAGTCTCAGACAAAATCTCCTCCACCCTCCAAATGTGCTCCCCATATAATTAGATTTAAGAATGTTATACACTGTATACAGCATTCCTTTGTGATATTTCAGATGCATTTTGATAATAATCTTTTATATGTCAGAAATCAAGAATCAACAGACAAGGTGTATATTGGAATTTAACATGAAACCTAACATATCATAGTTTCCTTCTATCTGTTGTAACCATGAAACAGATGAAATGTGTCTTCCGGTAGCATAGCAAGAAAAAGTTACAAAAGAAAAATGGGAAGCTATTCTACTCTGCCAACACAGAATAATGAATGTCATAATGAATGAGCGGTTCATCATAACAAATCATGAAATCATGCAGTACTAAGTTAAAATACACTAAGCAACCTCCTTGCTTCTGTGCTTCAGCAATTACATGTAGGGCAAGAGTTGTTTTCCCAGAAGCCTCTGGTCCATATATCTCCACAACACGTCCCTGTAAAATTTCAATACCGAGATGTCTAAGGAACTAATAAACATCACACAATTACTTAGTAGCGGGATGTATTAAGGGAGAAAATAAAAAAAAAGTGAAACAAGAATTGAGTACCTTTGGAAGTCCACCAGTTCCAAGTGCTATGTCCAAAGCAAAAGAACCAGTGGAAACTACCGGAACATCTTTAGGAGACACAGATCGACCCAGCCACATAATAGATCCTTTTCCAAAAGAACTAGTAATCTGATCCAGGGCTTGTTTTAGGGCCAATTCTTTCTTGGACATATTCTCGTCACATGAGTCGCTTCCATCTGACTTTGATTTCCTTCTACCTTCAGTCAGACATAAACCAAGATACACCCGAACACAAGAAAATAAGTACCATATTTAGTTTTAAACTTGAATAAATCCAGCTAAAATAAAAAACAAATAACCCCATCTTTTAGATGGAATTAACTTGAGCACAATGATTTATGGTACAGTTGACTTGTTTCAATTAAAATCATCCTAGATTCAGATATTCATTAAGTTAATAAAAATCCCATGATAAAGCACTCTTCTCCAAACACATTCAGATAAACACCAGATTAAAACTTCTAGCTAATCAACTTGCATGGTTTAATCAACCTATAGAATATAAAATACCCAAATAACAATATTTTATAAAATATCAACATTGAAATTATAGCTTGTAATGGAAGTTTCAATACCTTTAGAAGAAAAGGCACACAGCTGAGAAGATGACCCTAATACCCCTCTCCTACATACCTGCAAAGAAAATGATTCAAAGTTCATACCATTCCTAACTTTCTTATAGAAAATGAACACAGTGCAAGATAAGCAGATACATTGAATAGAACAAAAGCAAAGGGATATGACCTTATAGAAGAAAATAAACAGAAGGGTAAAGGATCAAAACCTCTGGAGCGAAGAGAGAACGTTTCAGAGAAGAAATATTTCGAAGAAACCTCGCCATAGCACGCTATGAAACGGCTGGGCTCTGTTTAGAACTACAAAATCCAAAAAAACAGGAAGATGGAGAACAAAATAGTTATGATAAAATGTTATTCCATGGATTACAAAGCGTGGGTTTACTTCTTTTTCTTTAAAAGAGAAGAAGAAAGAGAGCAGAGAAATGGACAGTAACTCTGCTCAGTGATGTTAGGGTTTTAGGTTGAGTTTCCCTCCTTTTTGACATTTCAGTCTGGTTAAGTACCGGGGACTGGAAGCTGAATGGGCCGTCCGGGCCTTGTAAGGATTTGTTGTCAAATTTCTAAGGGGCCCAGCTTTTGGCAAAAAAAAAAAAAGGAAAAAATGGTTGAGTTAACAAGAGAATGCAAAGTACAGTAAACAACAAAGAAGGAGAAAAACGTCGAGATTGAAAATTTAGACCCCAGCTTTCCTATCGTCTCCTGTTTTCTAGCTTGCCAGCAACACCAGGCAGGCTCTAGCAGCCCAAGTAAACTGAGTTGTTCAATCCCCCAGGTTATCTTTAAAGAGGGAGCTGCAAAATTTCCTTCCAAATCCTCTTGGAGCAAATATGGTCCCTGGAATGCTCAGCCTTGTTACATAAACAGCACCTTAAATTTGGAATATCAAGCCTCTATGAACTACGAGCGGATAGAGGGGCTAATCTGTCCAGGATGGCAAGCCGGAAGGTGGATGAATGCTTGGGGATATGGTTGTTGGGGAGCCAGATGAGCCAATGCCAGGAAACTTTAATAAATCCCATGTAAAAGCAGCTTTATACACCCAGATTTAGAAGCCAGCCAAATTCGCAAAGTGGAGTCAGGGCCCAACTGCAAGCAAATGTCTGCCAACATCGCTGAGTTTCAGGAGCTTTTTCGAGTGCAAACTGCAGGCATCTGGGCTGGGATATGAATATTTCTAATACCTTGGGCTTTTGGCTTTGATCATGTTTTACTACTTTCTTGGAAATAGGTCTGCCATGCTGATCGTGATGGTCGAGTACCAATGTCTTTTCTTGTTTTTCTATGTATGATTAAGTTGCTGCTTTGAAATTCTCAGTTACCAATCAGAAATTCCTACGAACAACTGCAGCCAAGAAACCATTTTCTACTTACTACACTCAAGTTTGTATGGATCCATCATGGACATAATTGCTTCCATCCGACCAAACAAACCATTTTTTACAAAACAATCCGGTTAGATTAGTAACAGGTGGAACACTATGAAATTCTCTTTTAATCAAATTTAAACTACGAGCACGTCATTGTTAGATTAGTAATTGGATTTTGTTCATTTATCAAACTCCCTGAAAAACGAATCAAACCACTCTGCTTAAGCTTTCAAGACCCATCATATACCTTCAACACGACAGAAGCAGAAACAAATATGAGAGCAAACGAGAAACTTTTTAATCAGTAGCCCTTCTGGTGGAAATTGGGGGATATAATAGAAAAGGTGAAAATATGAGAGATCCCCGAAGAAATTAAATCATTGGCGACAATACAACATCACTCGCAAAGATTACAAATCACAAAAGAGTAAAAAGAAAATTATAAAACCAATAAATTTAATTAAGATAAAAAATCAACTGAAGAGTTGGCAAGAAATTAAAAAATAACTATAATTAGACTTGCCATAACTTGATTTTAATGATAACAAGCTATCACAACAAGAACACTAAAGACAGACATATACTCAATTGTTTCTGGAAACATTCACATAAAGAAAATCTCAACACATCTCGACTACCAGACCACGTCCTATCAAACCAACAGACCAAAAAGAAAGGGAAAAGAAGGATTCTCCAAGCCAATCATTCATGGTATAACATGAAAAATGTAAAAATAAATAACCACCAAAACTGCAAAACCCCCCTTCCCTTTCTCTTCCAAATCAATATTTTATAGACCACCCTGCTAGGGTCGCCACATATCTGCCACAGCAGCAATTAGAATCTACTGCTGCTTGCATTCTGGAGGCCTCTCACCTTGTTGTCCTTCCCCTTGTGCTCTTCCACTCTTCTACAGTACAAAATAAAAAATAATCAGGCATAAATATCAATAAGGGGCGCCAAAAATTGAGGTCTAAATCTAAATGATATGGAATTGGTGTACCTTTTGTGCAGATGAAGACTGCAGCAACATTTTCATGCAATTTAACAAAAAACAAACAAAAAAATTAGCGTCACTTCAAATTCTGAAAGGATTATTGTGCATACATATAAAACACAACAAAAATCTAGCATCTCATACCTTCTTTTTGGTCTTACTTTCTTCTTCATCATCCTCATCATCCTCATCATCATCATCCTCATCCTCCTCATCGTCTTCATCCTCATCCTCATCAACATCATCATCTTCATCGTCATCTTCTATCTCAAGCTCATCTGCCTGAATAGCTTCTCCTGTAAACCATGACGCAGCATGTGGAATAATCTTGTCTCGAATAGTTGACCTGTACAAATAAGTATTTGGTACAAATAACATTTATTGATGATGTCTCCACATATCAATTTGACTGATAAATATAGCTCATACGAAGCATTAGTAAGAGGAGTTCAAACTGAGAAACAACGCAATGACTAGAGGTAAGCTAAAAAGAGAACTCACCCTATGTCATAATCCTGTTCCATTTGATTTTGCAGCTCCTCAGCCTGTGCAAGAAAGTACAAACCATTAGAAGACCAGAAAATAATTAATCAATCATCAAAGTTTTATGCTGATACGGTGAGGTTAGCCATACAGTATCTTCATCAATATCTTCATCATCATCAGGAACTTGAGGTGGATTGAAGAAGTTGAAGAAACTTTCACAATCTTCCGTTTTAGTGATTGGCTTGGCATTCTTTGCTCCCTTCTTAGGCTTTTTTTTAAGGAGCTTTTGTGTTAAGCATTTTCCTGGATACCATTCAATCTCCGTCCTACAAATTAAGTGCAAAAAAATTTTAGTTAAACTAAGTAAGAAGCCTCATAATCTAATTATACAATAAGAAATTTTTTAAAGAAAGTAATAAAGGCACTTACCCAATAGCTTTCTCCAGAATAGGTTCATCTTCATCGATCATGTGATATGTCTTTGTCAACAAAGTATTCTTGAAATAAGGATTGGTGTCAAAATAAAACTCAAGCTTGAATCCTTTGGGTTCCTCTATTCTATACCACTTAATATCCTTGAGATATTTGAGAGCTCCTTCATCACGTTCGGTGATCTAATTCCAAAAGCAAACCAAGTAAAAATGAGAATCACTATTTCCAACAAGAAAAAAGCATCCAAACAGCAATTATAACTGGATAACTGACCTCCTCAGACAGCACTTCGTTATTTTTCATTGCAGTAAGCCAAAAATCAGGCACTCCTTTCTCTGTATAAAGCATAATTGCATAAATAACCATGCACAAAGAAAGAGAGGAGGGGATAGAGCAAAAAAGGACCAGAATAAATAAGATCATACCTTCAGCAGCTTTATCCTCTCCTTGGTCCATGGTTGCTTCATTTGGAGTTCCTTCAGCTTCACCAACACCATTCACAATATCGTACCGCTACAAATGTATGATAACTAATCAGGCAAAAAACAATAGTAACTGATTAAACAAAAATAGAAACAAAATTCAAAAGGCAAACCTTAGCATATAGGGGTTGATATAGTTTCTGATATTTAGCTTCAAGTGCTGCTCTCTCCTCAAAAAACTTAACCTCCAACTCATCATGTTGGCTCTGTTAAACAATTGGACAACTCCAAACATCAAACTGGCATTCCACTTCCAAACTTATTGTAGCTCAATTCAATTGAAAACAGACAACAGCAATCTAGTCCAGCTAGGTGAGAATATAAATTAAAATGCAACCTTATACTCAATCAAAGTAAATCCAATCCAATATCAAATCAAAACTTTGCACAGATATTCTTAGAAATTCAACAAAATTGAGTAAACTTATACATCAAAGGACACGGAAGTTTCTTCACAATGGAAGCAAATCGGCCCTCAAATTCAATTACTATGACAAAATAAACCACAAGTGATACCATAATAACATTTCACAGCACAGTAACAAAACCAACTTCGCAAGAAATAACATGCCTGGATCTCCCTGAGAACCTCCACACGCTTCCTGACATTCGGTGACAGATTCTCCAGCATATCGGTGTGCTCCCCAGCAAGATTCTGAAGCTTATTCTGCAAACCAGAATATAAAAAAATCCAACCAATCACTAAAAACGCCAAAAAAAAAAAGAAAAAGAAAGAAACCAAAAGCAGCCAAAAAAATTTCCATTTGACAAAAAAAAACTAAGAAAAAAATCATTTCTCAGAGTCACTGACCTTGAGAGCGTTAACAAGGCCCGCTCGAGCTTCCTCGTTAAGAGCTGCAACCCAAAAAGAAGTTAAACACAAAAAATAAGAGATAAAAACGAAGAGGAGTGAAGCGGCAGAGTTAAGGTTTTAAGGCAGACGGAGATTACCATCGCCGAGATCGGCCATGTTGAAGTTAATCCCTTCGTTGCTCATTGAGAATTCTTCTAGGGGAAAAAAAGGCAAGAAGAGTGATTTAGAGAAAGGGGGTGCTAAAACCCTAGATTGGAGAGTGTGGAGCGAAAGGGTAAAGGAGGGATGGAATTTCAAGGGTTTGAGAGGCGTGTAAAAAAGACGTGGCCTCGCTTAAAATCCTCTCCCTCTCCTTATAAAAACCTAAACGCGCCTCGACTCCTTTTTATTGCCGAGGCGGCCTAAACCCCTTTTTTTTTTTAATTTATTTTCCTTATTTGTTTTTGAGAAATAGGGTTCGCACGCTTTTTAATTTGCCCAGCACAACCCGTATTCTTAGTTGAATATACTGCATCGCTTCAGTGTTCTTTTTTGGTTCTCGCTTTAAGAAATCGTACTCTTTTTTGTTTTTAAAGTGGAAAAAAAAAAAGGAAACAATTGTTTTTTTTTTAATTTTTGAAATATTCTTTTCTTTTTGGGCTTTATAACAAAATAAAATTTCCAAACATATTCTTTTACAATATCCAGAAAATCTAGAAATGCGGTATGCGAAAAAGCTTGTCTAAATATACTTGTTATACCTTCAAATATATATATCATAAATATCTTACTATATCAAGCATTTTAAAAGGAAGTAAGATGCTTCTATCCAACCTCAAATAAAAAATTTTAAAAAGTTTTATAAACAGGATTGTGTACGTTATGAAATTAATTTTTTTTTTAAATAACGATATCGAAATCAAATGATATTAAGAGTTGATTCGATATAAATTTATCCACATTAAGCACATTGGAAGAAAAGATGAGTAAGGTAGTTAATGATGAGATAAGTGTAATTAGATTTGGTAAGAGAGAATGTTACATAAATGTTGTGATACCGATTATTTATTATCATTATCAATAATTGTTTTATTACTATTGATATTGATCAGAATCAGATAGAGGATTATCATGATTTGATTACCTTAAATAACAACAAAAAAATCCATGGTATTGTTTTCCACTTTAAAATCATTATACAATTCAAAGAAAAGTAGTGTATTTACAATTAAATAAAACTATGCAAGTTAGACCATTTATTATTTTTTCCACTACTAATTTATAAATTTTGTAATGGAAAACCCTCTAGTTTATTTTAAATATATATTTTTAATGAATTTGATTGAAAATTTGATGAAATTTGCTAACCAAAAACACAAAAAAAATTTAAATGTTAATTATTTCCAAACAAAAATTGCATGCAATAATTAAATCACATTAAAAAAGAATTAATAAAATTTTAATACTACTATATGAGCTGATTTTTTTTTTAAATGATCATCAGAACACAATTTAATTTTTTTTGACAACATTTAACTTTACGAATGACTTGACAATAATCGTTTAACCAACACTGGATGCAACCCTTTATTCATATTTATGACAATAATATATTCACCGCTTACCAGTATAAAGTTGAAGTTACAGAGGAATTCAAAGGGGAGTAGGATTGAATGGAAGGATTCATCCCCACTCTCCCATCTTCAGGTCCCCTCCCTAACATCTCACGGTACTGACTTCAACCAAATAATTGATACTCTGTGCAAAGACGAAAAAGGAACAGTGAATTTTGTTACATTTTTCCCTCCTCTCTCTCCTTGGGACATAATTCAAAAATGAAACATGCCTGTCTATTACTGGTTTACTACTAGTGAGTACTTAATAGCACAGAGAGATTTGAACTAGATCAATTAAACTCAACTTTTGATCTTGGTTTTCTAGAAACAGGTAGACCCCGCGCCAGCCAGCATTTCCAAGATCTTACGCAAGATTAGCTGACCACTAGGGACTTGTCTCATGTTTTCTTTTGTCAATTCCAGCTCTCACCATGGTTTCACATACAGAATCTATTTTTCCACAATTTTTATTTTACACGTTAGATACGCCTGATAACAAGCAATTACACTGCAAATATCTTCACTAAAAAAGCTGGTGCGAAGTAAATATCAGCTACTACCATTCCGAATCACGCAACTCAGCAATAGTTTCAACATAGACCCCTAATTATTTAAGTAAAGACCAACATTTAAATCATGCATGAAATTCATTCAACAACCTGAAGGGAATGCAGAATCCAATTAGTTGTCATGGAATCAAGTTTCATACACCTTCTATGCATGGCACTGAAATCACTATCCTGAACATAAGATGCTTCTTCAATGGAAGGCAAATGTTACTTTCAAGATAACAGCACTTCCAGTGATCCACTATATCCACTTTTGTGAGCACCATCCCTAACCTTGATCTAAGCCTCAGAAACTGCAGAATAAGGAGCATTGTGGGATAGATTACAATTTCAGGCGGAAGTTGCTCCATTTGCAGCCTCATCTTTACCACCATTTTGTTGGCTAGCAGTAGCTGGCTTCTCCGCACTCAAAACACGCCCTGTCAGAGGATCAACAGGACACGTGTCACGTGGTCCACCCTTGCGTCCCATAGCCACCATTGGTGGTGGAGGCAATAATCCAGCTCTAAAAAGAATGCGTTGGACTGGCTCTGAAGGCTGCGCACCAACTGATAACCAGTACCTGCAGAAAACAATGACAATAGAAGTTTATCAATATCAGGCGGTTTCACTGCCACATGGTAGAACAAGACTATGGTAGTTGCCAACCTTATGCACTAAAGTGATTCATTGTTCTTCTCCACAACTATACAAAAGTTGGTACAAATCTGATACTTTTTTTTTCTCTCTACAAAACTTAACTGTGTTGAGCATGCAAAGGAGGTAAACAAGCAATTACAAGAATCTGAGGAACTATAGGAATCCACTACTGTCTACCCTGACATGATTCTATGAACTAACTCTAAATTGATTTAGTCCAATTTACAGATCAAGTTATTAAAGTTGAGCTCTGAACTCAAGATAACTCTAGCTTTATAGCAAAAAAAAAAAAACTCTAGCCACACTGCATACTGTTTGCTGCAACTACTACTTACTCCTCCCATGCAACTTCTCACAATAGTTACAGTTTCAAGAAATCTCCTTTGGTACACTAATGCATTAAGAACTCTGCAAATCTAACAGCTTGGGCATTCTATTCACCCTAATTACATAGCACACCCTCTTCAAATTGTTTTATATCAATTTTTTAGAATATAGTTATTTGTGGCCCATATTTTGCCAACCTTGATTGTGTAGCTGGACACAGAGTCTATTCATCCCAAGTTCCAACCAGAAAGCATTTCTCCCTCACCAATCCTTTCATTCCCCTACCCCCTGATCATAATTTACAAATTCAGAAGAATTTCTTTTTAATAGTCATACTTTGATATAATATCTGCAAACTCTCCCCTTCTATAGAAAACTGAGAGATGGCTTTATTTCTCTAATCCAACTAGAACTATCAAGGCCAGACTCCCAAAGCAATATACTCTGTATTGTTTCTGGAAAACTAGAATTCGAAAATGCTACTCACTACAGCCAAGCCACTAATTGATTACACGTTCTTTGCGTTACTCCATACCTCACAAATTCACAAGGAAACAGAGACAACGCCGCAGCAGAAACAAACATCTCAACGACAAAAAAGAGAGAAACAGTATGAAAACCAACAGAATAAGATAATGATTATTCCAGTCTAAATTCGAGACGTAACTGAAAGGCAACATCCAAATGCAAAAATGTAGAATTTGTGATCAAAAAGTAGAGAATAAGAATGGAAGATAGCAGCTTACTTCACCCTCTCAAAGTTAAGACCCATTCGTTTACCCCCATCTTGACCTGTAGAAAAGAGACAGATAAGATGAAAAATCAATAAGCAATTCTTCCATTAGCTCCATTTTCTTTTTCAGGGGAAAAACATGGCCGTCATGGACTAGGGCAGGGAAGGACGAAGATGACCTGGCAAAGGATTATAGTAACCAAGGACTTCGAGATGCTTGCCATCCCTTGGGGATCTGCTATTGGCGGCCATCACCCTGTAAAATGGCTTGTTTTTGCATCCGAACCTCGACAATCTGATCCTCACCACCATTTTCTCTCGCACTCTCTTCTCTTCTTACCAATCTGAATGGATCACCTGTTAAATTCACACCACTGTTTTCCTAGGGTTTTGGGTTTTGTTCTTCTCTCTACGCTAATCATATTCTTTTCCTTTTTATTTTTTTTTATTTACTTTCCGAAGTAAAAACATTGAAGGTGCGTTTAGACGCTCCGAACCGTTTGACTGTTGTCCTCAATAAAACGACCTCGTTCCACTAACCGACAAACGCTAGCGTTTCATGCCCGGGAAAGCCTTCGGAAAAGCGGTCCCGATATGAGGGAAAAATAAAAACAGAAGAGCGTTTAAAATTTAAAAGAAAAAAAAAATTCAAGTAGGGTTTTGTGTTTGTGTCTTTGTGATAAAATAGTGAGAGGGAATTCGAAGTTGGTATTTGGCGGAAAAAAATCGGAGGGACCGCAAGAGCGAAGCGTGGAAGCTCCCTTTATGTTCACTCCTCATCGCCGATCACATCTCAGGAGCGGAACTTACCATAATCTCGTTCGGCTTATCTCCCTCTGCTATGGCGATTCTCCACTCGCTACTGCCCCTCCCATTATTCCTGTTCACCGAACACGGGGTAATTTATTTTTTTGAATTCTTCAAATTTACTGTTACTTCTTATTTTCTCATTTTTTTTCTTAAATTTTAAAGAGGCTGAATTGAATTAAAAACAATGGAGTTTTTCATTCCTAGGTTAGTAAAGAAATTAGCCCCTTTTTATTTTCGGGTTTTGAGGAATTAATCGTTCAAATGATTCTCTTTTAGACAAATGAAATTCTGTTTACCTAAAAGAATACCCTAAAATCTTTCTATTTTTTAGGTGCAGTGACTTTTTCTTCTCATTGTTGATATTCTTTGTTTTTGTTGAAGATAATGGTAGTAACCAAAGTGAACCGGGTGGCAATGATATCCGAGAGCCTGGTGAGTCGATTGTCCAAGATAGTAGCAAGCCTGCAAATTTACCAGCTCAGGAAGGAACGGTGGTTGATGCAGGTTTCAAGGGTGCTGTTTTCAAGGACAGCGGATTTAGTGATACACAAATGGTATTAGATGAAATAGAGCAGATAATGGAAATAGAAGAAAGTCAGAATTTTGTGAATGGAAATGATCTGATGGTTTGTAGTAGCACTGAAGGCACTGGTTTTCAAGATGGAGAGATTGGTCGGGAACAAAGTCTAATGAATGAGTTAGAAAATATCATGAAAGGAAATGAAGATTATGATAATAGTAATAACTGCTTGGCCGCATCATTGGGCCAGAATCTAGGTGATAATTGTGTGAGTGTATCAATGAATAATCAAGAAGAGCGTATTGAACTTCCACTTGTTGTTGCGGAGGAATCTGGAACAGCTGTTCAGCCACAGGTATATATGGAAGGTGATAATCAAAAGATTATTGAAGCCTTTGATTTTTCTTTAGACAAAAGTTTGATAGTTGAAGTTTCAAAATCAAGTGAGAAAGTTGAAGACCAAAGTTCCGTGTTGAAGAGTAATGCAATGCATGAGAAAATTGGAATTCAGCAAAAAGAGATGGAATTGGAGAAGTTTGTTAGCTCTAATGATAGAATGCCTTCTCCTGGACAAATGGTTGAAAATGGAGAGCTTGAAGAAGGAGAAATTTTTGGTGACATTCAGCTTGTTAATGAGTCAGTTGATATACTCCTAGAGGATGCTGTAGTATCGGAAAAGAACGGAGAGGAGAAGCAAGTAGATGCCTTTGACGATAAAGTTCTTCATTGTAATGAAGAAAGCAAAGCTAATAATAAAGATTCTGAGATTACTTCCTTTAATATGAATATTGCTCAGATTGCCAACAGAGTTTCAGAAGTAGAGTTTGAAGGTAGTGAGAGAGATCAGATGGTGTCTGAACATGGAAGGATGCACAGAAAGAAAGGTACAAAGCAAAGTGGAGATGAAAATCAAGTAATTAAATCTAAAAAGAAGGTATGATTCTAACCTGCAATTTTCTTTCCTTTAGAGGCCATCTGTAATTATGAACTTGTTTACTTCGGTTTGGTAACATCCACCAGCATTGTCTTCTTCATGAGCTTGCTTTCATGTGAGTGTTCTTTGTGATAATAAGTTGACTTGCCCCTTTGATTTTCTTTGGAATGACTTTCAACGAGTCTTCATTCAGTTTTCTGTTTCTGAAATTAAATAAATAAAGTATCCTCCTAGCATCAACCTAAGAATTTGACATGCGGTTGTTAGGTCATAATTTAATGGCTATCTTTTGCTAAAAGATGACCAGGAGCTTTTCATAGATTTCCGCATTGCTTTCTCATTATTTTTGGCTTTGACCAGGCTACCTTTGTTTGTCTTGTGAGGCTTCATGACATCGGATGCAAAATTTTAAGGATATTGATCCTGCTTTCATATCCAATACAAAAATAAAAAAGAAAAAGAACACCCAAATATATTTTCATATGACTATATACAATCCCAGATTAGTTTCTAGGACAGGTTTAACTGATATATAATTTGTCAAAAGTAGAAGTGTAAACAATGTACCCTCTCTCTCTCTCACACACACAATCTGCATCACACATACGCACGCACACATTCTCTTGCATTCACATATAATCAAGTGCATAGACATGTACCCCGAGACATGAAATTCATTAAAGTGATCTATCTGAAACTTTAGTTTGAATGGTCTATGAGAGCCTATGCACTAGGTCATATCGAATTATTTTGTCGTGATGGAATTGCTGTGTGAGTTCTGATATGTGACAAGTATGGTTTCCTATTATTATATGCAGAAGGATGATGGTGTCTGCAATAAGACAAAACAGGGTTCAAATCCTGCAGAGAAGAAAGAAAAGAAGAAGGTATTGAGTATGTCTCCTTTGTCTTTTTGAATTTTTAGATGGATTCTTATTGGCTACCTTTACACCTCATGGTGCAAGTTTATTTCACCACTAACCAAATTTGCACTTATGTAGACATCTACGAATTAGTTTACTTGTTTTCCGTACAAAAATTTTGACAACTGTATTGACTATATTCTCTCAATGCTCTTCAAATTTATAAATGATATTTTTGTTATGGTTCTATTGTGCAGCGAAATAAACGAAAGAAACGAGCAGAAAAAAATCAACAGCTTGGTGTTAAAAGGTTGAAACTGCAGACAGTTCTGAAACCAAAAGCTGTGACTTATTGTCGCCATTATCTGAAGGGAAGATGCTATGAGGTTGTACTATTTTTAATTTTTTTCTTGTTTGATAATTATATAGTTTTTAAAATAACTCTAGAGTTTCATTCTCAGGTAGTCCTTCTGGAAACCTTAATTATTTGGTAATAGCCAACGTTTCACTAGAAATTTAATTAATTGGTTGCTCTGCTCTTAATTACGATGTTTAAATGTTATTGCTTTTCCTTTTCTGCAAGTGGCTATATTGAGCTCATCTGATTGAGTTTCTAGTTTGTGGATTATTATACCATGTGCTATGCTTTTTTATGCTAGAGTGACTGTAAACCATTATGGTTTCCTGACTATTCCCTTTAAATGTTCCTAAACAGTTGAAATTTGATTTTATTGACTCCAAGATTACGAGAGGAAGGGGATGAGGGAAGAAAATAATTCAGAAAAGTGTAATTGCACAAAAATTCTTGTCAGGGATTGGTAGTATTCTAGGACGGACTGGTGTGAAAAAACAAAGGATGAAGGGAAGGGGGAAAGAAGGAAAAGAAATATTGTTTTTGTTTCTTTGAATTTTTTAAAACTGAATAAAGTTGCTCAAATCTGTATACTATGTTGATTTGGTCTAAATATCTTTTTTGCTCCACAGGGTGAGAAGTGCAAATACTCACATGATACAGTGCCTTTGACAAAATCCCAGGTATAGTCATTTGGCTTGGTACCTTGTTTTAATGATGCAAGTAGCTGCATTCTATTATAACTCATTGTTCAGTTCGTTGCCACTATCACCTATACAGGCTGAGTAACTTTTGTTTGTTACATTTTATTATGATGAATTGATCTATGATTGTTGCTATTGCAATTTACTATTGGCCACACCATTGTAGTTCTGTTCATTCAACCGATTTTTTAGTAATGAATCTGTAACAACTACAAATCATTCCTAATATCTAATAGGAAGTAGGAACATAAGTCACTTTGATTTTGTGTCCTTTTTTATTTTGTTAAAAAATAGGGTCTGCATTGTACTGGTGCATTTGTCTGACCATGTCTTGTATTTCATTGTTGCAGCCGTGTTCTCATTTTGCACGCCAATCATGCATGAAAGGTGATGAGTGTCCATTTGATCACCAGCTCTCCAAGTATCCCTGTATCAACTACATGACCAAAGGCTTCTGCGGGAGGGGTGATGATTGTTTGTTTTCACACAAGGTAAATTTGTTCTATTACAAAAAAGCTACATTTTCAATTAGTTGATTTAGGGTGCGTGATAACGTATTTTCATTTCAGATGTCACCTGAGGGAGGTGTTGCATCGTTATCAAGTGCTCGTGAACTTCAACTGAAGTCATCATTGCATGGTGATTCTGAAATGAGACTGAGTATCAGAAAAAATGTTGATGCCTCGTCCTGTTCTATAAGAGCTTTTTCTCAGAAAAGCAAGGAACAAATTGTGGCTGGGACTCCAACTAAAACACCTGATCTTGATTGCAAAGGGGTCAACTCTCTTTTTGTTTCAAAATCATCTATGGCTGAATCAAGTAAACGTAATCGTGGCAGCTCATTTCAAAATATGAAAGAAAGTGGCAAAGTTGGGATTCAAAGTAATCTAAGCACGTCAGGTGTCAATAGTCCTTGTGCTTCAAAGCCATCTCTGAAGATGAACAAAAGTGGCAGACTTGGGATTCAAGCCAATCAAAGTGAATCAGGAACAATTCAAAATGTGAATGATAGTCCAATGAGAAAAACAGAAGTGGTACCGAGAGGTATAAATTTTCTATCATTTGGAAAATCTTCTTTAGAAGATACCACTAGCAAAGTTAGTTTGGCATTAAATAGGGGAGTTGGATATAAGCAACATCCCAGTGAAAACGAAGGTGATAGAGGTAAACTCAGCAACCAGACAAGCCAAAGTACATCTAGTACAGATCAAAGGAAAACTGATCCAACAGTGGTGCCACTGGGAATAAATTTTCTCTCTTTGGGAAAATCGGGTAACTCTAGAAGTAATGAAGCTAGCATACCTTCCAGTTCAGATATTGTTAACAGTGGACCTCTTCAGAAGAGTAATTATGCATCTGATAAACGACATAACACAAGTGCAATATCATATAAGTCACCAGTTTCTCCACGAACTTCTGGTCAATCCTCAGAGTGGGTACCGCATAAAAACACACCAAATACAGCTCAGAAGGCTATCATTTCTACTTTAGCATTTGCAAAAAAGTTTGATGATGTCAACAGTCGATCTTTTCATGAAAGTCAACATTTGTCTGATAAACAATACAGCTCCAATCCAATCCCGTGGAAGATGGCAGCTTATCCGCTTGCTATGGGTCAATCTTCAGAGAAGATTTCACATAAAAACACACCAAACTCAGTTCAGAAGGCACTGATGTCTACTCTAGCATTTGCAGCAAAGTTTGAATCTGGAATGAAGAAAAATCAGTCTGCTGTTAGTACTGGGGTTAAGAGTGAAACAACGGATAGCAGAAACGATGAAGGTTCAAAAAGTGACTTGGCAGAAACTTCAAAGCTTTTGGATATTTTGTCTAGCGTTGGCAGGAAAATAAAGCAGATGTGATCACTTACATTATAATGGTTAGTATGGATAAAGCATTTGAAAAATGGGTTTTGGTTTTGGGGGTTGGGGTGGGATTACACATGGATATTTCATGTGAATAAGAATTGATTAAATCTATAAAATGGGAAGGCTGGTTGGTTCTGTCTGTATATCTGCCGTCATATGGCATTCATTTCAGTTATTTTCAGCGCCAGTCAAGCAGGTGAAGCATTTAATAAGTTTCATCAGTTTCTGCTGTCAGTTAACAGGGTAGAGGCTAACTGTTGAGCATAATAATTCATGGTATAGGTGGGTTATCGTCGCTGCCGCTTTACCAATTGATGGAGGTGAAATACTTATTTTCCCTGGAAATTTATAATTCTTAATCTTCTTCCTCCAAATTCTAAAATTTGGGCTTCCGGTAAAATTCTCAGGTTGCCCCGTTCAGCCTCTGTTATTCAATGAGGTTACTTCTAGCAGTGAGCAGCCTAAGAATCTCAAGTTTTAATAATCTGTGGTTGGCTAAATGTCTATAACTCCAGGGTGCGCTTAGTGAATATGAAATCTCATCCTCATTGGTTCCTTATGTTTTATTCTTTGATTTAGTTGAGCCTGGGTTCTCATTAAGTCACTGACTAGCAAACTGAGCAAATTTAGGGGAAAAACATGTCATGATTTCACTTCCTTCAGCGAAGGCAAGTTAAGTTAATTGCATATTGATTTTTCTATACGAAGTTAGCTTACGAATGCATTGCCTTTTACAACAAAATATATGACATTATAGATGAGAAAGAAGTCATTGGAGTAAATCACTTCAATCTGAAGGACAACTACCCAAGTTACGGTAGGGATCTCTATTCTGTGAGCATTCATTCTATCAGTTTTGAGTCTGTAGCATATGTCTCTCATGAGAAAGATTAATCTTTTTTCTTTTGTATTTTCGGGTTTATCTTTTGGGCTTTAAGCAAGTTGTTTGCAGGTTTCTCTAGATATTGCATTTCCTGACCAAATCGAACCAAAGAATTATTGAAGAGCTTGAGACTACGGATCTCTTACTTTTCAGATGTTGCAGCCTAATAATCCAAGTAGTCTTGGATCTGATGAAGATGGTAAAGGGTTTCCATGTTATTATTGACTCTGGTTTCGGGAACCAGAAATGAAATTTGATCTGTACAAATGCTAAACTACTTATTTGAATTATGTTCAGCTGGGTGCATGTGAATGATTCTACTCACTGTGGAGTCAGGAGTGCATGGATTAAGGATGGTGGAGCCCTCTGCCTTTTAATTTGAAGAAAATGCATTATTACCCTTGGCAAAGGCTAAGAAGCCTTCTTCTTGGTGTAAGGTTGGCCCATCTTATTTGATATTTGTAAAAAGTGACGCCACATTCACCCAAAAGTTTGAAAAGGCGAAATCATATAAAAGGATCAAATGTCTATTTTATCAACTTCTTTTTCTCTTTTGCTTTTCATTCACAGATTCAAATTTTTTTGAATATCTTGGATTAAACCAAGTTCTTCTTTTCCATCGTGAAGATCATGAATTCAAACGTTTTCCCTCTTAGAGGTTTGTCTCTTCTGCTAATTGTCTATGATCCTCACTTATCGAAGAACCACTGTACCCAAAATCACGGTTCATTTGTCCATGTTAATGTGCTGAGAGTTGAAACTACGTGAAATGGATGGTGTCAGTTCGGGTACGCTGCACGACCCTTTTCTGCAGGTTGTCCCCATCTAAGACAATCTTATATAATTGAGAAACAGGTGGTACAAGAAAACAGGGGGATTTTACCAGAGATGGTAACTTAACACCTAATGCTCTATATCATTAGTACATACAAACACCCTTATTTATCGCAGTAATTCACGCTACTCTATCCCTCAAAGATTGATACGTGTGGCCTAGACTTAGGTGTCACTGGAGAAGAGCCAATTTGACGGAGAAATAATAGGCATCATCTTTCAAACATGATGACAGGGCCAGGGCAATGGCACTGGTAGGTATCAAGGCATTACCAGATCAGACCTGGCCAGGGAAGTCGATGACGTCACACAAATTTAACTTTCTGACTTTGAAGCATCAAACCACTACTTCTGCTTCCCTTTGTTTATGAAATTGGTCCACACTGTTTGCAGGAAAGCTCAATCAAGAGGCTCATGTGACTTTGCTGCTTGTATTCAACTCTGGCCCCCGCCCACAACTCTTTCTTATAATTACAGTTAATGAGGGAAAAAAAAAGAAAAGAAAAAATATTGAAAAACTCAATTTTTATTTTGGCCAATAAGAACACAATTTAATGTACAATGATTAGCTTGTATCTTAATTGAATATTAGGTCTGAATATTTTCTAAACCACTGTTTATGTTTTGATCAATCAAAGTTGGTTTGACTAGTCACAGCTACAAACGCAGGAAAGCGTATTAGTGGTCGGTGGTCTTCCAATACAAAAGAAAAGGCGGGCACGTTAGCATAGCCCAAGTAAAATTAACCTCTACAAAGGAAAACGACCGGTTCAGTAACTTCACTGAACCGGATTCCCCTTCATCTAGTCTCCAGCTCCCATTTATAAAAGCCCAAAAGCCCAATGCCATTTTCGTCTCTGCAAAATTCCCACACTCAAAAGAGACGAAGCATATTTTAATCCAATCACAACAACCAAATTCTGTCTGTGAACAATCAACATGACCACTTCCGTGAAGAACAACTTCCTACCTCCTTCTTTGATCTCCAATCTCCAGCAAGTTCTGATATCCCGAAACGACGCCGTGGAACACCAATCCACCAACTCCTTCGACTCAACCTCCTCATTATCTTCCCGTTCACGGAATGCCGAGCCAAACACAGCGAAAGTGGTGCCAGATTGCTCTAAGCCTGTGCTTCTGATCACCAATGGTGAAGGAATCGATTCACCTGGCCTCAATTTCCTCGTTCAAGCTTTACTGTCCGACGGTCGCTTCAGTCTCCACGTCTGCGCTCCTCAATCGTCAGTTTGTTCAGAATTTCAGCTCATCTTTTCTTTTAAACTATAGAAACAATGTGGTTTAATGACGTAAACTTTTTCTTAGTTTTGAACCAGATCAGAGTGAATCTTAGCAGAGGCCTGTTTTTCTTTTCAGGGATAAATCGGTTGCCGGTCATTCCGTGACGGTGCGTGAGACGGTTGCTGTATGTTCAGTGGAAATGAACGGTGCCACTGCTTTTGAAGTTTCAGGTAACTCTGCAGTTGAAATGAAAAACAAAATGTAGTAAAACGTAAATTCTACAGTCACGAAGAGACCTTTGTGTAATTAACAATTGAATGTACTTCGAGTAAGTAAATTTTATATTAATGTTGCATGTGACTGATTAAAAATCACACCATGTGGCCGTCATATCTTGTACATAACCTTTGTAAATCAGTCATTTATTTCTAACATGTCATTTTGTTCGTTTTATCGTTGTGGTTTACCGTATTTAGTCTACGCCTTCTGGATTTCATTTGGTAGAGATAATGAAAGATGAAATTTGTTTCCTGTGTTTATGATCAGGAACTCCTGTGGATTGTGTCTCGTTGGCTCTGTCGGGAGCATTGTTTTCATGGTCAAAGCCTGTTTTGGTATGCACTTTTTAATTGTTGCGTTGAGAATTGAGATTGTCCATGTTTTAGAATCAATGCTTTTCTTATAGTTGTATTTTTTTTTTCTATTTTTTCTATCTATAGTTGATTAGTGGAATTAACAGAGGATCAAGCTGTGGTCGTAATATGTAAGTGATATGTTGTCTTCATAGCCTGTGCCCTGTCTTCCCGTTGTTTTGTCAGATCTTTTTGTTAAATTTGATGGCCATTGTCTCAATTATAAGGTTTTTACTTTGCTATGTACATGAATTATTACTATTAGGTATTACTCAGGAGCTATTGCTGCAGCTAGAGAGGCACTCATTTGTGGTGTGCCATCTCTTTGCCTGTCATTCAACTGGTAAATATTAGTATCTTCTTTCTGAATTTTTGTATTTTCCAGTGTTTTGTGGATCAATGATAAATTTATGTTTATAATAATTCTAGGAAGAAAGAGATGAGCTGTGAAAGTGATTTGAAGAATGCGGCCAATGTTTGTTTGCCTTTAATATTCGCAGCTGTAAGGGATATTGAGAGGAGAAATTTCCCGGAAAGTTGCTTACTGAATATACAAATCCCTTCTTGTCCCCTAGCAAACAAGGTAAACCTTTACAGTAAAATATAGTTACTCTGACTTCCATACTGAAAATTGAAGATAAACAGCTCGAAAGAGTTGCTGCTTGAAAATATGTTGAGACAGTTCAAACTCCCCGGTCACTTTTATTATTTATACTTTGGGAAATCAATCTGGACAATGTATTTCTTGCTGGTGTGATAAGTTACATGAATAAAGTTGGAATAATACTGAAAATAAATTAGGCATCTATAGATGGGTGGAAGCCAAGCAGAAGTATATTACATAAGCTGGAATTTGGTTTAATGACAGTTGTATCAATTCTCAAATACACCATTTTCTTTCTAATTGCATATGGGTTCATATGTTGTTTGCACAATGTGTGTTTCACAGGGATTCAAATTGGCCAGGCAGAGCCTATGGAGGTCCTCTTTAAGCTGGAAAGCTGTGTCAGCAAATAGGCATCCTGCTGCTGGCCAATATTTGTCTAATCAGCAAAGCCTTGGTATTAAACTTGCACAACTCAGCCGAGATGCATCTGCAGCTGTAAGTATCTGTTACATTAAAAATGCTCCAGGTTCTAATTTGATCTTTGCTTTAGCATTAGTCCCTTGAATGGCCCACTTTTTGGATTTATCAGGGTGCAGCAAGGCGCTTGAACTCACAAAGGCAGAATGTTGAAATTGAATCTGTTGGTATTGCTGGAAAACTGAGTGGCCAACAAACAATCAAAAAATACTTTCGCTTAGAGGTAAGTAAAAAAAAATAGAATTATAGCTATATTTTAGCAATCCGTCAAATCCACTATTTTTAGTATTCATTACTTTTTAAAGATACGAAAGCAAATAATCTGCATTCTGCAAGCATTTGATGTTGAAGCTGATTTCTGCATTGCTCCCCCACTCCCTATCTCTTTCACAGAATTCCTTAGTGACTGCATTATTTTAGTTTTAGCCATACGCATCTATAATCATTAGTTTATACATTTGTATTTAAGCAGGTCTTGGACAAGGAGACAGAAACTGCAGATGATAATCTAGATTTTAGAGCAGTAGAAGACGGATATGTGAGTTGGAATTGTCCTTCCGTCTAAAACTGATCTTCGTCCATCTTTTCTTCTTAATGGCTTACTTGGTCTTATTTTCTTGGATGGCATTGGCAGGTTGCTGTAACTCCCTTATGTTTATCTTCAACCGATCAATCCAAGATTGAAACACAGGTTTCAAACTGGATTACAGTTGCACTTGGCAGGAGGCAATGAAACGAAGTTTCCTCTGCCAGTAGTACCTGGTAGTTAAACCTGTGCATTCCATTTCTTAAAATCCCAAAAAAGATCAAAAACAAAAGAAAAAGCATGTCCCATTGTGTATCAGATGGGTACGGCGACAGCTACAACAAATGAGTGATTTTGAGTTTGTGTAATGTGCGGGCTCTACCTCTACGCCTTCCTATTAATTTATATGTTGCCATGCGCTAAATTGCCTGGCAATTCATGTCTCCTGGGGTACAACAAAGGTGCTTAATTATCAAAAAAAATTACTTGCTTGGAATGGATAACATGTATCTTTTATTTAATCGACTGGTGTACCGCCCTGGATGAAAGTGGATTTTCAGTCCATTGATTCGAGGGGTTGGTCAGAAAATGTTCCATTATCCTCCTTATAGGAGTATATGTATTTTATCTCTTCCATTCTCTTTCCACCTCCTGTTTAACTTTTATTACAAAGGAACCGTCTGCTTTTTATGGATAGCAGCTTTTGCCAAACTGCTTAGAGCTTAGAACTCAAAGTCTAATATCTATGGGTTTATTTAGAGATATATAAAGTACCAGTATAATTTTCATGAAAGATTATTTAAGCACTTTTGACGTTTAATCCTCCTTTTTGGACTATAATGTATAAAAAGACATACTAGTTTAGTTTTTAAAAAAGCAAAAAAACATACTAGTGGTTATTTACAAAGAGACAAAGCGAGGTATCCGAACTATCTCATCTCAGAAGGAGCAAGGTGAAAGACTCCAGGCCCAGTCGGTCTGCCTACCCATTCCCCTCTCGGTGGGTAACGGGCACAATAAACTCTCTTCAGTCCTCATCATCCCCAATATAAATTTAACAAATTCCTCATCTCCCAATTCCCAAACAGAATTCTTTGCCAACCCCCTTTTTTTTTCCTTTTTAAGACTGAAAATTTAACAGAAAATTCGGTGTACTTAATAGCAACTCTCTTTCTAATAAGTACAGTATATAAACAGTAATAGACTACGGGTATTAAATAGACGAAAGAAAGAAAGAAAATTGATGAAGCAAAGGCCAGGTCTGGCCCACAACTTACCTTAGAGGAGACACTGGATCAAGGCATTGTCATATACCTCGATCCATTTCCTACTTAAAAAATATAAATAAAAGCTTGAAGCAAAAAGAGGCTGCTTTAGCTTAAGCATGCAAATCTAACTTATGGTACTTATATGCACCAACAAGGCTCCGCTCCTTTTTTTTTCATTAAAATAGTTCAAAATTCGTTTTTAAAATTAAGAGGAGCAGATTAAGCCACGCTCTATGTTTTTTAAGCTTGGGCCCAACATCCAGGCCTATCCGTCAAGCAACTGCCACTCGGTCATCGGTGCCACCCGCACGGCTCCTATCGATGTTAGGCGTGCTGATGTGCTTCAAAGCTTTTATACCCAAAAATACCGCCACCTCCTCACCGCATGACTCGAAAACGTGGCAAGATTTTATTGGCTTCTGTTTATTTATCATTTTGTACAAAAAGACTACACAATCTTTTTTCTCCTTTGAAAGAAGGGAAGACTACGCAAAATTAATGCTTTGTGGTCGAACCCAAAAACGGACAACGGTTAGGACACTTTGATGGATGGGAATTCCGACAAGTGGCGAGCATGCAGAGGGAAGACCGAACGCTTGTCTTGTAGCGACCGCATGATCATGTCCACTGACAATCCCCCAACAAGGAGATCCGACGGCTAGGAGGCCGGGATTGCACCGTGAAGATTTGGAGATCACGATCGAAGACTGTACTTAGCTTCCCCCCAACAAAAAAAAAGGAAAAAGGACTGATACGATGCCGCATGCAAAAAATTCCCCAGCTTTCACAGGAAAAACGACAACAAGTTCACCATTTTCTTCTCCATTCATCCACGTGGCGTCATCCTATTGGGTAATATTGATTTAGAAGGGTGGTGGCGGAATGAAAATAGAAGAGAATATAGGGGTTTGGGTTAGGTGGAGACAAGGAAGGATAGCTACAAATGGCGAAAAGGCAGAAAAGTGATGAAACGTGGCAATATCTCTTCAATTACGTTTGGACACAATATATATTCAGCTCAGAAGACTGCCACTGTCTCCTCCAATTTTCATTCCCTGTATTTCTTCTTTGTTGCCGTACCCACTTGAAAAACCTCTAAGAAAAATAAATATTCTTCCAAAAGAAACAAAGAAAATGGTGGTGCCTGACAGTGGAGGTGGAGAAGAAGGCTTTGGTTTGAGCTACACGGCGGCGTTCTTGAAAGAATCGAAGAAAATGGAAGATGAACCAGACAATGAGAATCAAAGCTACTCAAATATTGTAGTCAAGGAAGAGCCAGTGGCGGCGCCGGCTGCGGTGACAGAAGGTAGCGCAGCCACTTGCGGCGGAGGAGATCAGGTGGCTTTGTTGAAATCCGTTAAAGAGGAACAGGGAGAGGAAGATGATGAGGAAATGGGAATCGTTGATGATATGATGAACGGTGGGGATTGCAACAAAATCAGTAATAATGGGTCGTCTTCCTCTAGTTCATCGGATGTTTCGCCAAAGCCGATGGAAGGGTTGCTCGAGTCGGGTCCTCCGCCGTTTTTGAGGAAAACGTTTGAGATGGTGGAGGATCCGGAGACCGACCCGATTGTTTCCTGGAGCGTGAACCGCAATAGTTTCATTGTTTGGGATTCTCATAAGTTCTCTGAAAATCTCCTGCCCAAGTATTTCAAGCACAAGAATTTTTCCAGCTTCATCCGCCAGCTCAACACTTATGTAAGTAGTTTTACCCCTTTTTCTCAAAATTTTGCTGCCTTTTTTTTTTGTAACTTTTAATCAACTACGAAATGTTTCTTTTCCTTTTAGGGGTTTAGGAAGATTGATTCAGATAGATGGGAGTTTGCGAATGAAGGGTTTCAACGAGGAAAGAAGCATTTGCTGAAAAGCATTAAGAGAAGAAGTAGATATAATAAGCAGCAACAGGGAGGAGTTATTTGTGCTAATAGTTCAACTAGTTTTGGATTGGAAGCTGAGCTTGAGATTCTAAAGAAAGATCAGAGTGCATTGCAATTGGAAGTTTTGAAACTGAGACAGCAACAGGAAGAGTCGAATCATCAGCTGAGTGTTGTTCAAGAGCGGATTCGGTTTGCTGAGTGTAGGCAGCAACAAATGTGCAATTTCTTTGGTAAAATTGCTAAATTTCCTAACTTCATTCAGCAACTGATTCAGAAGAGGAAGCAGCAAAAGAAAGACCTTGATGAGGGGGAATTTAGCAAGAAAAGGAAATTGCTTGAGACACAAGTCACAAAGAGCTTGACTGAGGCTATGGGCACTGACCAAAGTGTCAAGTGTAGCAACCAAGTTGATCAGGGGAGATTGGAATCAATGCAACCTGATGAGTTCTCAAAGTATTTGCCTGATGGTATGGAGAACAACAACCAAATGAAGAATGAGTTTTCGGCTTCCATGGAGGATGGGTTGTGCTGCTCCCTTCAGGATCAAAAGAGCAATGTACCAGAAATGTCATCTGTTTATCATGTTATGTCTGAAAACCTACTAGGGGAAAGCTCAGGTGTAGACAAAGTAGCAAATGAAGAGCTATCGGTGAATGATTCTAAGATTTATCTTGAGTTGGAGGATTTGATCAATTGGAAGCCGTGTAGCTGGGGTGGATTTGCAAGTGAGCTGGTGGAGCAAACTGGCTGTGTCTGATCCACACCTTCACTAACCCAATGGTCTATATCTTAATTGCTCTTGTATAAATTAATGGTAATAATTATTTATGGTTTCTATCTTACTGTAAACGCCAATGGTTGCAGGAAGTTGAATGGCTGCTGCTGCCTTTCCTTTTTTTCGTCATCCATGATAGCAAGGTGTCTCAAGAGCTGCAAATGAAATGGCTCTTCCATGAATCTTGTTGAAGGCTTGAAGCTGATGGCAACAAATGTTCATACTACAGTGACATTTGCCCTGTTAGAAATGTTCATATTTTTCTATATTTCCCTTTTTACTTTCCTTACTTGCCTCTTCTTTTTACTACTGTTGTCCTTTAGGTTGTAAAAATTTTCTACCCTATACCATATATACAACAACCTGGTCCTTTTAGCATTGAATACCTCTTCTATTTCTGCTATTTCACTTTCAAATTGAAATCATGGTGTTGCATATTTGATGCTTAGCTTATGTGGAAGCAAGCTGTGGACTTTATACCTCACTTGTTACCTTGTCCGTATATGCTATCTTTGTTTTGCAGTTGTTTGTGATTGTTAGCACTAAGTGTATGGAACTTTTCCTAGATTTAGTCACTCAATTTTCTATCCTTCCAAATAGAAGTTTGTATAGATAACTAATTAACCACATTGCTGGCGGCCGCACTGGTGGGGCAACTCGTGGTGCTCTTCACTAATATTAGATTTTAATATAGCAGAAAATCTCTTTCCAGAAAGGTGTTTTTCCCTTCTAATATGTATCTTATTCAATTTAACCATTCTTTATTCTATTTTAAAATTTCCTAAGATGAGATTATAACTTTATTTAATATAAAATATTATTTGGATATTATTATTTGATTTTTGATGTGATTGTTGAAATTTTGTTGTGACGATGACGGTTCTTTCTAGTCTCACAATAGTAAATCCTGGAATAATCCCTCAAAAAGGGTAGGGTAAGTACTGCGTAAAATAATTGAAATTTGTTCATATCAGTAGCTAAATAATTTAATTAATATTGTAAAGCTGTTTTCTTGCTTTGATCTTCGCTTGAAGGTTCAAACCAACCAATGCCTGCTCAAAAGTTTTGCCTCGCGTTAGACAATGGTGGGTAAGATTTGAGGTATCATCCAATTGGGTTTCAACTGGATCTAATTGGTTTAAAACAGGTTGAATTTGTGGGCCGGCCATTTAATTCTTAAACAATTAATTATTAATCCTGTCAGAAATATTATAAAATTTTCTGCATTCTATTGCTAGACTATAAGTTTATGTAGTGACAAATTATAATTTATCACTCATTAACAAAATTTTAAATTTTTTGTAGGATTAATTAATTCAAGCTTAAACCACATTACTTCAGTAATAGTTTAATATTTTTTCAAAGAAATAGTAATAATTTAATATTGAACCTATACACGCACATTTATTTAGTTAAGATCAACGGTTTGCAATTAAAACATCCAAAAGTGAACTTAATCAAACAAAATTAACAGTATTGTCAAAGCCATTAAAAAAAACAAATTTAACGGAATAAAAATCACAATTTTTTTTTTTTTTTTGCTTTGCTTTTTTACGGCTCTAAATTGATGTCTAAGACCAGCCTAGATTGTCTAATATTTATGAGAGACAATCATTATTTACAAAATTAAATTAAACTTGGCTCAACTTCATTGCATGAATTGTCTCTAACATTAACCAAAAGTAAAAAGTTAAAAAAAGAAAACGGAAAGAAAAGAAAAGCAAATTAACCCCGTATCTGTTGTCCACATCTTCCTGTGATCAATGATATTCTAATTTATAGTTTATAAAGCAAAAAGAGAAAAATAACCGACGGTTAAAATGAAACGGAATTACTATGATACAGCTATAAGAGATTGCATTAGGCCTTTGGGTCTAACAGCCCCTACCACTACCAGTTAGCTTACCGTTAGGCCTGCTCACCCCTATTGACTTCGATGAAGAAGAAGATGAGATGGCTGATCTGTCAAACTCTACTTTATCCTCACTGAATGCCTTACTTAGTACATCTTGGAGTTCCATGTACCTTCGCCTTTTAACCAGTCGCTCCTCTGGAGTGTCATTTCCTCCGCATGCTAGCTGAGATAAGTCGTCAGCGTCCATGATCTTGTTCAGCACTTCTGAGCAACGAGGGAAAAAGCGTTTGCCAAGCTCCACTGCGAGAGAGAGAGGGGGTTTGAGTAAATGCATTTACTCATCAACATGATGTTTATTCAAATTTTCCAAATTAATATCAATATGCTAGTCTGACGTTCAAAATCTACTACTCCTGAAATAGCTTATCAGGACATTACACTGGTTCATCATGTGATTCTTTGGTAAGGAGAAACCCAAGAAAATGAATTGTGGCATTAACAGGAAAAGAGAAAATATTGATGTAAAGCATCAGACAGTACCTGTTCTAGAAAGTGCTTTCAGCCTATTTAGATGCTCCTCCTGAATTCTAAAAGGTGCCTCATTCAAGTCCACAGTTGTTCTTTGTGCATCATTTAATCTGTTGGAATTGATGCTGGCTAATGTGAACTCAGATGTTCCATCCACTTGAGCTATGTCCATCACAACTTTTGCTTCCATGGGGAAAAGAAGTTTTGCCAATCCAACTGCAAAATGTAAGATGAGTAAGATATCGATAGGATAACCATCACTTTTCAACAACAATAACAAATATGATGGAGAGTTCAAAATTAGATACAGGTAGAGATGGTTCCAGGGTTGCAAACAACTTGGGACTGCATCAGTAGAGAAGGACAAACTTAAAACCCCCAATCCTCTGACTCTGTGATGTGGCCAGTGAACCTCTGGCTTAAATCATTAACAATTGATAACGAAGCAGCAGGTGTTAACGGTTTTGAGTTGAGAGATGAAATGCTGATTTAGCACAATACATTTTTCAACAGAAAGATATCCTAGCATAAATTTGCCTAGGCTTTCTTTTAATTTTGCTGTTTCAACCAATTGATATGTTCACCAGAGACAGAGAGATATCTCTTTTCAACAACTAAACTACCTATCTACCTAATAAAGAAAGATCAGAAACTCTAAGCTGATATTGTGGAAGAAAATATGGCAAAAACATACCAAGCTAATATTTACAATTCAAAAGAAAACAAAATTAATGACACGATCGGTATGGGGAATAGCTAAGCCATTCCCCCCTTATTCCTTT